TCCCCCCCCCCCCCTCCAGCTCCGATTCCTCCTCCTCCGGCTCCAATTCCTCCACTCTCACTCCGATTTCCTTTCGTGAACCAAACAAACAAGGTAATTCGGGGGCAATCATTCCATTTCCCCGTAATTCCCTTTCATGTTTCCTTTCCCTAAGAGTATTAAAAATAAAAAATCTAAAAAATTGAAAAAGTCACAGTGACAATTTTATAAATAAATTGAACTTTCTGAAAATGTACTACTACAAATGTAAAATACATCATGATGGTCTGAAAATGCTCCATTCTCATATTCTCATAGTATGGATATTCTCACAGGAGAAAAAACAAAATAGCACTCTTAGAGCTTAAAATACTCTAAATAGCTTCTTCTGTCCTAAAACGTTCTTGCCATTTCTTTTTACGAAATTTGAGCGACTTTACTTTCAATTCAATTTATTTGATTGTAGGTATAAAATTAAAAAAAACAAAATTTATATATTTAAAAACCACATCAAAAGTTCTACAAAACATAAGTGACAATATTATATTATTTTATCAAATAACTAAGAAAAATGGGTAAAGAAAGTATTAAAGTTTGACCGTATAAATAGTAAATGCCAAAATATTTTAGGATGGAGGGAGCATACACTATATACTATTGATGATGTAACTTAAATGCAGAATATATATTTAATTTCCTTATTTATTCATATTTTGTATTTTATTTTTATTAAATTCATATATATTCCTTATCAATACTGTATTTAAAAAGAGGTGATTTTTTCCCGCCCATATATAAGAGTAATATATGGAAATGTTATGCATTTTATTCATTATATATGGATGCATTAAATTTAGTAAGCATTAATTAATACTCCATAATTAATGGTAAATGGAATATGTCAAGGATAATTTTGTATGAGCATTAAAAATGCGGAATTTCATAGAAGTATTAACTAATACGTAGTAATTAATTAATAATTAATGGTAATGTAGAATTTCATATGAGCATTAAAAAGTTTCCATTTTTATCCAAACATATTAATATGTTTTTTAATAACAACGAAACAGTAAGGTGGAAAGAGAAATAAGTTTCAATTATTGTAACACTCTAATCCATCCAGATCTGCAGCCTCTTTCGTACTAAAGTATTAACTTGGTATTCGTATAATTTAAAACATTTCAAACACTTTATTCATCATAAATAAAATTTCATACATAATTGTAGAAAATACGGAGTGTTTAATAATAATAATAATAATAATAATAATAGTAATGCGGAAGCGACTTTTAAACATGTTTCATAACAAACATAATAATTTATTTTGTCAATAAATCCACCACGACTGTCTCGCCCCTTCTGCTTCCAGGATTATTCCAATCATTCATTCTGTCTACCTGCGTGTAGCAAATAAAACACACTACATGCTCAGCGGCAAAGCTGAGTAAGCATCTCTAAAGCGTTGAATATCCACATAAATTGAATCTCAATTCATAATCAACCATTTGCTATCATGCACACAATATATGATTCAAACATTCATGATATTCTTAATATTTTATACCAAATCATTTCATAATAAATACATTATCCAATATCTCAACAGTGCTCTTAAATTATTCTTAATTTAAGACCACATTATTTTATAATCATATCTTAACTATTCCTAGTCTAAGGCAATATTTCTAACCAGACTCTTAAACTATAAATATTTAATGTAGAACACAAGAATCGATAATCCACCCTATGAGTCATGTGGATTACGTACCAAACCGAACAGTGAATTGTCGGGTGGGTGATATCCGTTCTGGATCTCATACGTACGTTTTAACCCGAAATATGAATTGGTCAAGGAGGTATATATATCTTAGATTTCGTCTAGATATCCTTTTTTGAACCAAATGCAAATAAATTTATTGATCATCCATGACATAAGTGCATAGCAGCACGGGAAAACAAAGTACAAGGCTTCAGAACCTGCCTCTAACACTTAGATTAATAATAACACAAGCAGCTATGAGTTTACGTAAGGACTAGATATTTTAGCATTCGTGAAGGTGCTAACATGGTATCTGATCCTGTTGAAAGCTTCTTCAGTTGGGGTTAAGGAATTCTCATGAAAGACCAGATTCCTAACCTTCTAGAGGTAATACACACAAGCTGCAAACACTATTGTTTGCTTCATCCTTCTTTTAGTTGGTGTTATCTTCTGGATTTGGTCACAAATTTCTTCGAAGGTTTGCCCCTCAAATAGCTGATGGCTCCAATTATAGATCATCTTATATAACTCTCTAGTGTATGGGCAATTGCAGAAAAGATGATGTCTATCCTCCTCTCCATTTGAGCATAATAAACATTGAGTGTCAATAGGATAAAACCTCCTCAATTTGTCTTTGGTCAGAAGCTTATCCTTGCAGGTGAGCGATAGGATGAACTTATATTTTGGAAGTGAGAGCCTATTCCAGACCAAGCTAGTCCAGCCTGGTTTCAGCCTTTGGCCCAATAGCCATTGATATCCAGCCTCAGTAGTATAGGGGCTAGATCTACCCATCTCCACAAAGTAATCTCTTGTTTGTAGTATTTTCTTCCAATAGAAGCAGTCATCAGTCTTGATTTGGCACTCCCATATATCACTGTTTTTTAGGTACCTATTATGGATCCATTTGATCCACAAAATCTCCTTTTTCCAATGCGATATCCCACACCATTTTCATAACGGCTTTATTATAATACACCAGATTTTTAAGGCCGAGACCCCCATATTGCTTTGGTAGACAAAGGTCGTCCCAAGCAACTAAGGGAGTTCTTCTCTGATTTTGAGAAGATCCCCATAGGAAATTTCTACACAGGGATTGGATCTTCTTATAACCATGGAAGGGATAATAAACAATCTACTCGAAAAACCAATAATTCCATAAAGGACAGAGTTAATTAGCTTTATCTTTCCTGCATAAGAAAGGTTTTTAAAAGTCCAAACGGTCAGTTTAGTAGTTAACTTCTCAGTGAGTGCTTCACATTCTTTAGCACTGATCCTGGAGGAGGTAATAGGGCTTCCAAGATACCTGAAGGGGAAAGAGCCTTTTCTCATGTTGGTTAGATGAAGAAACTTGTTCTCCTGTTGTTTGTTTATACCACCAAAAATGATCTCTGATTTTGAGTGGTTGACAGAAAGACCAGCAGTGTGTTTGAAATGTTCCAGGGCCATCAAAATACATTTAAGAGAGCTCTCATCAGCCTTGAAAGCTACGATTAAATCATTAGCAAAGATAATGTTAACAAGCTTCAGAGATTTGCAGAGGGGTGGTAACCAAATCTCTCTTTAGCCACACAAAAATGTAATGATCTGGTAAGATACTCCATAATGAGGACAAATAAGAGAGGGGATATGGGGTCACCGTGTCTTATCCCCTTCCCTCCCTTAAAAAAACCAAAACACTCTCCTTCATATTGAATAGAATCCTTAATAATCATCATCAATATACAAGTGGGTATATCTTAGAGTTTTTCTAGATATCCTTAACAATATACACCGTTTTCATAATCACTATTATATTCATTTTTAATCATGATTTAATCATCAATAATCATTCTAATCAGTAGGTTTATCATTCATAATTATCCATAATAATTATTCATCATAATGATCATTCAACATAACATTTGATAACAAGCAGCGGCCTAGTCTCGAGTGTTAA